TTCCCCTCTTCTTACATTTGTAGCACACATGCTAATTTAGAATGAAAATCCCATGCGATCAAGAACGTAATAAAACACTTAGGTTTGAAACTACTACCTGCTACCTCTTGATAGTACATTCCTCTGCCCTCTCTCTGCTTCTTCCTCCCCTCCCACCTCCAGCTAAATTGTTCCCTGATCCCCAGCTGCCACCTTGACAAAAACTGCGTGTCAGTGCCGAGCATGTAGACCTATAATTTGCCATTTTATTCTTCAGTCTCAATAGGGTACTTCCTGCTGCCAAGGATTCTCTACTTTGAAATGAAAGTTGAAATGGACACCTGCAGAATTCTCTTCAACCAGTCTCTCTTCCCAGTGAGGAGCCTGAATAGGGCAGAGAAAGGGGCTTACAAGGTGACGGGGAAATAATACTCAATGCAAGAAAGAACTCCTGAGGTGAATGATTGTTATGTTCAAAGGCCAATAGTGTCCCCACGGGGAAAGGAGACCCAGTTCTTCAAAACAAAAATTACTTTGGGCTACTTTTTTAGTTTATTTGGCCAGAACAGACATTTTCTTTCATTTTTAATTTAAGTATTTTTCTGAGAGATTTAGTTGATCTAGGATGACAACACACTTAACTATGCAGTTTGAGGTTAAAATTGGCATGCAGGTGACAATTCAGTTTTTGATGAGCCCGACCTCAGAATACTCGACTCTACCTACAGTTACCAGCCACAGTGACCACCTACTTCACTCTTAGAGCTTCAAATCCTTTCAAACCCAGCCACAGCTGAATTTATTTTTGCCATGAAATTTAAATCAAAGTATTAGGGGGATTTCTTTTTCTTTCTTACCAGGGGGCAATTTTTCTCTAGGTTCAAAAATAGGCAGAAAATGGAACACATGATATTGAAACAGTGTATTATATTATACCATGACAAGCACTGAGGCAAGCCACCCATCCATCAGCAAAGTTGCTATTACACCATAGCTTTGCCTGACGGAGGGTATTGAAAAATGCTTCCCAGGGGATTGCTTTTGGGCCATGTATGACACCAGAGCTTTTCCTCAAAGGCATTATGCACTTGTTAGCCTCACTTCCCTCTATCCATGTATTTTTCAAGGCTTTTCTTTTTGCTGGTTTTTCCCACCTATTGTGGAACACAAAAACAGAAATATTCTGCTCCTACTCCGTTCAGAACAGAAAGAGGGGAGGGGAAGGATACTCGTATGGGAAAAAGCTTTGCTAATGCGCACAGTTTCACTCATTTATTCATTCGGTAACTATTTATGGAAGGCTTACTTTGCCAAGTGTGTTAAGAGGTACCAGTTTATAGTGGAGAAAAAGACAGGACTCCTGCTTCATGAAGTATCCATTTATCAGTAGGAGGGGAATAAGCAATACATAAATACAAATAAATATCAGATTTTAGATTATAGATTAGCATAGGCAATAATAAGCACGACGAAGAAAATAAGACAGAGTGATATGATATGGAGAGAGGAGGGAGAGGAACTCTCATTGAGGGCAAGGTCTCCCTGAGATAACATTTAGCCGAAACATGAAGGTTAAGAAGGAACCAAATATGCAAGATCCAGGCACAGGGTGTTCCCAGTGGAAGGGACAGTGAGTGAAAAGCTCTGAGGAAAGAAAGATCTTGGCCATGGTATCTGGAGTGGAGCCAGCTAAGGGGGAGCGGTGTGGGAAGAAATCTGAGAGGTAGCCAGGGGCCAACTGCATAGCCTCAGAAAAGAATATGGATGCAACTTTCCCTGTCTGTGAAGGGGTCAGAGGGCAGAAAATATAGCATGAAGGGGGTGTGCATAGTAGTCTGAAGGTGTGTAAAGATCATGCAAATCAGAGGGAAAATGACGTCATCAGATTCTGCTTCCACCTTGAGTCTATCTCTAAAAAGAAGGCAGTGCTGCCTTGAGTAAAGTCACTTTGCAAATCTGCAACCCTCTTACATAGCCTCTCCGTGCATTAGGGTACTGAAAAACAGCATCTTAAAATCCTGTTTAAAAATAAATTTGTTCTAAATATACATATATGAAGCAGAGAGTGGAAGGGAATGTGCAAAATGTAACATTTTGTTCCGATGGTACGATAAGGAGATATTTCGTTTTCTTCTTTAATGGTGTTATAATAACATTTTTATAGTAAAAAAAAATCCATTTTTGGCTTTCAGAGTATCAAAGCATACATTTGCAGCTGGGCAGAAAAGCTTTCAGCACTTAAAAAAAATTGAAAGTAACTGATTTCCATTCAAAGTATTTCATTTGGTCCAGGTAATCTAAAGCACCACGAGATATAATGCTGGTAATTTGAATCAATAAGTATCACTTTACCTAAGTCTAAGAGATTTCAAGAGAGGAACAGAATTCAGTGAGCATCCAGCTGTTCTTCAGTTATATTTTTAATATTCAGTAAGTTCTAGACACTATTATAAAGATTCTCAGTATAAACTAATCACAGGGAAATAATGCTCAAGGTCCCTGCCTTATGAATTGTGTGCTCGGCATGTTTTCCAGCTGACTTACACTGTTTAGGAGATAAGTTGTTCCCCAAATAATTAAGCACTTACATCTTTAATGTGTTTTTGCAATCTGGCCTAATAATGTGACAGAGGGAATGGACAGTGTCATACGGCCTATGGATATAAAAATTTCCCAAGTGACCTGCATCCTTCTATCAAAACTACTCTAAATTGTTTATCAACTTGTATGCTTAGTAGATAAGTTTCTGGAACTCTAAATATTTTAGGTATTTTTTAAAAAGGTTTCTATCGAGAGTAGGAGTTCTGTATAGCTGTAAACCTTTGTGCAATGGTTTCCTTAGATATGATATCGAAAGGATAAATTGCCCTCAGATCACAGAGTAAGTGATAGACTAAGCAAGGAACAAAAGCCAGATTTCCTGAACTCCAACCCAATAGAAATTAGACAATCTGTTTCTTTAATATTTAAGGATCTTACATAACAGGTTCAGCCATTACTTTAAGAGAAAAAAGGAAGTATGCCTTTTTTAATAGTGACTTATTGTAATGATAAACACTAAACTTAATGCATACAATATATTAAATTTAGTATGTGATGTTATAAGAAGAGCAAGATTTTCTTTCTAGGGGGCGGTGTTGTTCAGAGTATTGTCCTAGTGCAGTGGTCGGCAAACTGCGGCTCGCTAGCCACATGCGGCTCTTTGGCCCCTTGAGTGTGGCCACGAAGTTTCAATTGCACTGTACGTGCGCGCCTGCACATGGTATTTTGTGGAAGAGCCACACTCAAGGGGCTGCAGTTTGCCGACCACTGACCTAGTGAGTCTGGCATAGAGGACTGAAGCCAAGGACAAACATGGATGTCCCCAGAAACATTTAAGGGATAAGAAATGGGCTGTGAGCAAAATACAACCAACCCAAATATGAGCAAGTTGCTCATATTTCTAGGGAGGGTTCTTTTGGTTTTTGGAAAATCACCACTTGTGATTCTTCTATCTCTTGTCCCTTCCCATCCCCAGAGCTCCCAGGAAACCCCCGAATAGCACAGATGTCAGGTGAGGCAGGGGCATGAAAGACACAAAGAGAGTAAGAAGTTGATGAAAAAGAAAAGTGCTTTCTTGCCTACTTTGTGATCTCAGTGAGAGCTGGGAAAGAGTGTGTCCACTGATGCGCCTCCTAGTTCTCCTATTTACAATGGTCTAGATTGTTACTCCAAGTAGAGACCAGCATCACCGTGTTGGGAACTCAGGCTTTAAGGCCCCCTCATTCCAGACCAATCAGAATCTGCATTTTCACAAGGTTCTCAGGTGATGAGTGTGCTCATTTAAATTCCAGAAGAGATCAACCGAAGGACTTGGATGCATGCATATAAGCATAACCAATGGGCATAAGACACTGGGGGGTAGGAGAGGCCAGGGTATTGTCAAGGGTGGGGGGGAAAAAGGACACATATGTAATACCCTTTGTAATGCTTTAAGCAATAAAACAATAAAAATAAATAAATAAATTCCAGAAGTGGTGGATAGCCCACTAGTCTCCACCAGTAGTTCCTCTAAAGCTCTTCTTAGGGGTCTGCATCATAGAAATCCAGGTGCTCAAGGAAGATAAGATAATTAGTTAGCACCTCTTCACCCTTGGGGAGCTCTGGCTTTTGGTTCACAAGACAGACATCATTTGGCTCCTGAGGAAAAGAAGCTATCGTAGTAGTAAGAGGTGTTGAGTCAGCTGCTTCACTAACTTGACTTCCAGTCCCCAAGTTAATTTTTCAGCCTCTTCCCTCTCTCAGTTAACCTTTAAAAGCTCCTAACGAGTTCCTGTAGCATCTCAGTGAATGCCTTTTCATTACATTTCTATGCTTTCATCCATGCAAAGCAGGGAAGTACTCCTTTCTCGGAAATTAATGTCACATCTCCTATCAATCTCTTCATTTTCACAAGTTCAAACTAATTATGGCTGCAGATGGTACCGCTAAATAAAGTTCTCCATTGTGGACACTTAATCAAATCAGCATTCCCAACAGAAATGTCTGTTTTGTGTTAGAAACCTGTTGCTGTGAGTTAGTTGAGATTTTCAAGTTATGTTGAGGAGTCCTTTATCCTAATTTTATTCCAAGGCAAGGATTGCTATGGAAACTCATGTGCAGACTTAGAAATATCTCATTAGGGTTTCTTTTGTCTAAATAGTAAAGAAAATGCTGGCATTACATTAGCATTTAACACTACACAGCCTGTGCAGAGAAGCAAACAGCCGAGCTGGTGAAATCACATCCAGCTATTGTATGGGTGCTCAGTTTTCCCCATCTACAGTTGATCTAGAACTTTTCTTCCAACCACTAAACTGTTTTAGGACAATCTCATCACTTGGCAGCATTTCCACCAGAGGGTAAGCAGTTCAGAGAAAGGAAAAAAAAACAAACACTAATGACAGCTCTTTGTGAAAGACTGCTTTTATGAGTAATGTTTTACTGGAGAAGATTAAACCCAAGCACTAAAAATGTTTCCTTGTTTGATGGCAGATGCTCACCTGTTCTTCCTTTCCTTGCATGGTCCACCCAGGCAATAAAGATCTGTCTTCTCTGACTTAAAGAAATCAATATCAATGGCACCAAGAATTTTGTTTTGGTTTTATATATTAGTGGCAGGAACCCGAGGAGAGAAGGGAACCTCCATGCCCACTGGCAGCTGTGTACAAGAAAAGAATAGGTCCAACGTTTTCAACATAGACAAAATTAAAATTTTCAGTTCAAAAATCACTAACCCTTCTCAGATCCTTATTTTCACTGAGATAGATTTAGAAACTTGAGAGATCAGTAATAATTTATAGCTTAGGTGGAACTCAACTTATTCAGTGAGAGAGAATCAAGCCCTTGAGTTTCCATTCCCATCTCTATCACTTTCTCATTAGTTGATTTGTTAAGAAGTCACTCATCTTTCTGAGTTTCAGTTTTCTGTTTTGCAAAATGGGCTAAGCATTGTGGTAGAGAGAGCTCTGTCTGCCTTTGGAGTCAGGTAGCCAGATTGTTCCCTGGACATATCTCTACAGAATTGCAAAGCGCCTTTATTTACATGATTTAATTTGTTCCTTTCAACAACTGTACAGTGTTCCCAATCATCACCCCTTTACAGAGACCAAAAGATAAGAGCCTGAACACTGTCATGTCACAACTTTAAATTTCCTAAGCTCTCACCTATACACACTCACACACATTCTCCCTCATATTGAATAAATATGCTTTTATGTAATAAAAAATATAGTCTAAACCTATTCATAGTAATAGGTCTTATGCACTGGAAACTTGTCTAAGCAATTTACATGCACTATCAGGTATTTGACTCTTCCTAACAATGCTATGACATAGGGAATATCAACTTCATTCTAGGCAAGAGAAACCAATGCTCAACTGAAATAATTCGGGGGAACTTTAGTTAACAAAAGTCAGCAGATGGACCTGAGCACAGAGAGATTATTTCTGAAACATGCATGCTTAATACATTATGCAATTCTATTTCTCTGAAAAACTTCTAATTTCAATGCTGAATCACTTATGGTTAATATGTGGGGGGAAAAAACCCTTCAGTAATAATAAAATTCAATTAATTCCATTCCAACAGTCACCTCTTCCAAAAGAATATTTAAGCAAAAGATTTTCTAAGCTTTGACAAGTATTACTGAAGGATCTGAAATAAGTTCCACATAGATCTTTCTATAACTTTACATACAAAGTCTCCCGCTCTGATTTCCAACCAAACCTCTAGCTGACAATCCCATTTAGCACTTACTCATCCACGTAATGTTGGCCATGCTGAAACTTCCAGTCCAACCAGGTCCAGAACCTACCGTGGAGAACAGAAAGTTTCCTTCTTTACCCTGTCCTATGAACAGCCAGCCAAGGTTATGTTTGGGGTTAAACTGACACCTGACCTTTTGTTCCTGGAGTAAGAGCTGTCTGCTCTGGCCATGGCTTCACCAAACAAAACACAATGTCCTTGATATGCAATGTGTCCCAAGTGCCTATGCAGGCCGTTGGAGGACATTATGTCTCTTCCAGGTCTGAGAAGGAGAAACTTGAGCAAATATAGTAATACAACAAACCCAAATGCCCTAATTCTTTGGAAAGAGTCATAAAATTATTTTACATTGACATAGGAATGTTTTAGATGTTCACAGTAAAATCTTCTAACTTACCTGAAAAAATGGTATTCCTCAGCCCTATTACCCTAGATTTTTAAAGTAATACTTGCACATTCTTTTAAAAATCAAATATTGTTAAAGGCAGAAAAGATAAATAGTACCTTAGCATATATCATTCCTCTCCTAGTTTTCATTTTATTTAAGAAATGATACACAGCATCTAGCTATCTCTTCAAAGCAAAATGCTCATATTTCTAATATTTCTTTTATTTTTTAGTTTTAGACATGGATCTTCAGTCATCAGCTTATCAACACCAATACCACACCAACTATAGGCCAAGAAGTGTGTTTTTTGGAGTCACCTGTCCTACGTGTTCCAGGTTAGAGCTGGCCATCATGTGAGATCAGGAAAGTAGCTGTACCGGAATCTGTTTTTCTGTGGAGGACGAATAGTCAGGTGTGTGTGCAGATATAACTTCACTGTGGCTGACACGTTTACACATGTGTCAGGTGTCACTCTTCTGCCTCAGACAGATCCCAACTGTCACATTGCGAACCCTGCCCCAGCTGCTCCCTGAATTTTAGTACCAGATTTACAAATGATTGCTCTCTTCTACCCAATCAGCTCTTCCAACAGTACCACAATCTCCTGATTGTATATAAACATTTTATGGTCAGAATTCAAAGAATGGTTTCTTTTTCCCTTACCAAATACTGACTGACATGTTTGTTGGTAATTGAATTGATCTCAGGGAAATATAACCTTAGGATAAGAATCTGGATGTGGTTCTCTGATATGACTAGATTCCAAAGTAAACATAATAATAACCTATATCTATATTGTGTGATAAGTGGGAAGTCCTACGACCAGGAAGGGCAAAATAACAGGTAAATTATAATGATCAGGCCATTATAATTAGAATGAAATGCATATTAGATGATATAACTTTGAAAGATAAAATATATAGCATAGTAGAATATTTTAGTAGTAATAGAAATTATAAAGCCATGAGGTTTGTTGATCTTTTCTGAGTGAGCCAGTGAATTTCTTCCCTTAAAGAAACCTCCTGATATAATGTCAACAATTTACACTGTATGCTTTCTTGTTAACCTTCTCCAATGGGACCAAAAATTACTTCATGGGTAGTAAATTGAATAAAGGAAAATACTCAGAAATTGTAAGTATTACTAGACACTGACTTAACTGGCGAGGATAGATTGAATTACTATACTTAACTGATGCTAATTCCTAGGGGCTCAAACAAGATTAAGATCCAACAATCAGAGTAGGGGCCTATAAAATCCAGGGATGAACCGAGTTTCCCTTTAATCAAGCTTAGAATGGGTCTCTCAGGTTCCTAAGCTCACTGTATGGTTATTCTTCTTGTCTTGGAAAGCACAGTTAGAAAAGACATACTCAGCAACTGGCAGAATATCCACATTGTTACCCTGACTTATGAAGTGAGGGCTAGTGTAGTAGAAAAAACAAGCAAAATCCTCTAGAACTGCCTCTGCATATCAAAAGAGTGCATCAAAATCAATGTTGTTTCTTTCTGGCGGGACTGCAAAATCCCAACCACATTCTCATTCAATTAGCGTATTTGTGTGTATGAGAAATTGCTCTTGAAGAATGAAATTTAACCAGGTGTCAACTTACATTGAAGATAATATTCTGGATGTGGTTTCTTTGCTGGTGCTAGCCAATTAAGTATCTATTACCAAGTACACGGCCTTTGGTCTAAGTGCTTTTATAAAATATATATTTATTAATATAAACCACTAGAAATAGTTTGCTTTCACTTGACAAAGGCAGTAATACCCTTTCACTGCACTATAATGGGGGTACATCAATCTGTAGCCCTACTTTATCATCTAGTCCAGATTCACCTTTATCACCTTGCATTACACAAAATAATATGCTAATCAGTCACCCTGACACACTGATGATGGCGTGCTGATTAAATGTGATGGGGAGAAAGCAAAAATATCCTGGGAAAACACATGCATACCAGACAGTAGGAAATAAATCCAACCAAATTCAGGCAGCCTCAGTGAAATTTCTGGGGCTTGAGAGTTCTGAGGCAAGTTGAGATATTTCCTCCCCAGTGAAAGGGAAGGTGTTGCATCTCGTATCTTCTTTCACTAAGAACGAGGCACAGAACCTAGAACACCTGCCTGAATTCTGGAGGCAACTTATACTCGAGGTAGAGTATGAGGCCTATCATTTACCAAGTACTCTGTAAGGATGCCGGTTTTGAATGGTTAGGCAGAGCCCAGAGTAAGAAAGGTTTTGGTGGCAGCTCCATACTATTTGGGAAACCGCTCTGTCACTTACACCATATGACCAAGCAGACGTACCAGTACTTGCAATACACCTGGCTGTTAGGACTCTGCTCCTATCTTCTTGACAAGGGGGTTAATACCTTTTGGTTCCTTCACTCTCTTTTTAGTGGACTTTTCAGGGGGAACAAAGGCTTGTATTCAATCTTTCCGTTTGAAGTCTAACTCCTAATCATAGAATTTTTCAAGAGAATTGATGTTATGGGAATTCAGGATTGTGTTACATAATAAAGTGCAATTTTCTGCATTTATTTGTTAATTCTTATAACCCTCTAAAACACACTTCAAAGTCAGTCAGTGGGTTAACCAGTGCAGTTCTACTACCTACACTTTGCTTATGACAAGAACAATACCTATAACTTTTCTAAATGTAGCTATTGTGGCTCAACTCAAATTTTAAGAAAATGATAACTAGAGGGTTGGACTCACCTTTGGACTATAAGGACTACTGTTTCCTTATTCCAAGACCCTTGGCAAATCTCTTGACCTCTCTCTGAACTTCAAATTTAACTTATCTAAAGAGTCAGTGAAGTACTACTGTATTTATAAAGCTGATGTGAGAATTGATATAATGCCCATGAAAATGTCTATACCACTAACCCCTCAAGTTGGTAGAATATGTGGGGTTTTTTGGAACAAAGATGAAATGGCCAACATCACCATTGAGATGGAGCCAAAGCGAACAAACGTTCTCTTTGTTGGTTAGCTACACCTCATGCAAAATACCTGATGAACAACAACGAAAGCACTCTTGACTTACAAAGAGCTTTACAACTAATAGTGGTATATGCAGAAAAGGGAGAAGTGTTTTGAAGCCAAAAGGTCAGTAGGTTGCAGGCAAATGGGGATTTTATTTTTTGAAAGTTAAATATTTACAAAAAATTCTCTCAGCTCTGATACTGTACTTAAGGAGACTAAAAAACTCACTGCCAAATTTGATATTACAGCAGCTGTAGAAAAGGCTCATAAATATACTTTTGGCAAATTTAAAAAATAATTTAAAGTTTGAAAAATGAAAGAAGACTGATCCATTCAAATCTATTGTTAGAAAAAGCAGCTGCTGACGATTTGATAAATTATTCATCCAAGGGTTTCAATAACCCTAAAACAACTCCTTCCACATATGTTGACAGGGGAAGAAGTATCTAGCAAAAACGTGAAACAAAATAATTTTAAGATGCTTCAAAAATGATTAGAAAACCTGTTCGTTTTCTGAAGCCTTGTTTGCTCTTAACTCTAAATTAAAATTATTCAGCATTCCTACTAAGAATTTGAGGCAACTTAAAAAATATTTGTTAAACAGGAAAATGCTATTTTAGCAGTAGAATTTAATATATATTACAGTGATCTTTTGTAACAGAAATAGAAAATCTGGAAGATATAGCAAAGTGTGATTATGGCATTGCCTTAACTAAGGTTTTGGCAAAAGGAAAATGCAGAGACTCAATGGACACAGAGTTGCACAGCCCAGGTCCCCTACAAGGAAGGACAGCCTGTCACTCCTCCAGGGATTTCCTCAGCTGCAGAAAGCCACTGGGCCCAGGCTGCTCCATGCACAGGCTGGCCTAGGTCCAGTGGCTGACTAATGGGAAGGGGTTGTAAAGATCAGGCCATTTCAACCCAACATGGGACAATTCTGACAGGTCATTTAAGCCTCAGAAATCCCTCTGGGGTTGGATTTCAACTCTCCCTGGGTCCAATCCCACTTCCTCCTCCTCTCTTCCAATGGTCCTCCCTAATGCACATCCTGTACACTAAATTCCCTCTTGTAATCTGTTCCCAACAAACATTCCACAACAAGGAGCAAATGGCAGAAGGTAAACATCACCTTCCCCATCATTTGTTCATTAATGAGTCCTAATTGAATGCCAATGACATAGCAAACTTAATTGTGATACTTTGCAAGGAATGAAGAAGTAAAAGCCCTGCCCCAAGGATTTTACAATCCAATGAGGAAGAATTTGAACTGCACTGGAAACTGTGAATCGCAGTAAAATAAGTGATATAAAGTCTATGAAAAGACCTCTAAGGAATCTAATGTGTGAATAGACCTTTAAAGATCTTTACAGAATGAATGAACCTCAAAAACATTAGGCTAAGTGAAAGAAGTCTGGGAAAAAAAAGACTGCAAGAGTATATGATTCATTTATATGAAATGTCTAGAAAAGGCAAATCTATAGAGACAGAATAGATTAGTAATTGCCTGGGGCTGGGGGCAGGAATAGGGAGTGTATATAAGTAGGATTTGTGGTCTCTTGGGGACAGATATGTTTGAAAATTTATTTATAATGATATAGATCAACCCTGCAAATTAACTAAATTTTATTGAATTGTACACTTAAAATGGGTGAATTTTATGGCAAATAAATTATACTTTAATAAAGCTGTTTAAAATAAAAGG